GTTGAAGCTCACAAGTCATAAAAGGGCCAAGTTTGAAGATCCCTGCTTAACCACTATCTGTCTTCCATGATCACTTGTTTCTACAAACACTGTTAATTGTTCTTCAATTTGAAAAGTCCTGTTGAAATCAATGGGAATTAAGTTCAGTTAATTAAAGCTATGGCAAACCACTTCTGAAAAATCTTGTCAAGAAAACTGCCAGGACTTGTCCAGGAAGTCTCCAAGAATGAGGCATGACTGAAAGGAAGAAAAAAATATGAAGGCAACAATTTTATACCCGATTTGCAAAGGAGTACATTAGCCTTCCACTTGATCTGGATTTATGCATCATCCTAAAAACCATTACTTATTTAAACATAAGTTTGTTGGATAAACCACAACTGATTAGGGTGACACATCTTATGATTGACACAAATAGAAGTGATATGCAGTGGTCTTATAAACCAGTCTTTTTCAAACATCGCAACTTTAAAATGTGGGCTGGAGAATTATAACAGTCGCTACTGCGCAAAACCGGAAGCCCTTGAAAAAACACTGTTGTAAACCAAAAAGGCAAACTAAAAATAAATTTCTCAGTCCAAGTGATAGCCATCAAGACTTCTTCTTCAAGAACTTAAAGTATGAATTTGTTGATATTTTCATTGTTATATGCAATTTCTATTTAAGGCTGATATGCTCTCAATAACTGAAAAGCCAGTTTTGCAAAATGAATCAAGGGGTGACAAAAGAAACTATATACCAAGTAAGCTTAACATCTGGTCCTGTGAAAATGACTGAAGGAATCATTAAAAGGGAAAGAAGCAAACACATCAAAAAACCAGCCTTGCAGAAAAGGTACCAAGATTTCTCCATCTGGGGGGGTCAATATGGAGAGGAAATCCAATAAATATTGTACACTATGATGTTTAAACTGCATTTGGCAAAGTCCTCCTGTGCAAACAATTGCAGTGAGATAAGGGAACAGGTGCTTTATGGATTGGCAATTGGTTTAAAAGGCAGGAAACAGAAAGAAGAAATAAATATGCCACTCTCAGTTTGCAAGATATTCAGAGTGAGATATCACAGGGACTAGAGTTGGAACTGATTTTGTTTTAATCTGTATATAAGTTAAATACACCTTATTTAAAAAAAAATACAAGAACATTACTGTGCCATTTAATCAGTTTGAAGGTGGTTTAATTCATGTAACTGCTAAATCAAAGTTAGTCCAAATCAAAAGAACAGGAAATCATCTTAATTTTATGTGATGGCACATACTTTCCTCACAATCCTTCAAGTACTTTGGAATCAATGAAAGAAAATACAATAGAAATAAAGAAGTGGTTTTAATTATTATTTTAATTTACAGTATGTACATACTAGGTTCCTTAATTATAAAATGTTTCATAGCGCTTGATATTTCAGAGGAATTTCATATGCAGGGAGTCATTCAGAATAACTTCCAGTACTACTTTTTTCATTCACAGGAACTGTCTAGCACATTATCACAAATATGAAATAAGGAAGACTGTTTCCTTCTTCCATTTTCTGCTATGTAAGCCTTTTCTTTAAACTTTTGACACCAGGTATGGCTGCTTCTTCTTAAATGATACCTCGAGTCAATATTCCTGTTCTTTTGTCCTCAAAGCAAAACATTTCAGACTTCAAACCACGAGAACCTAAATGTTTATATGAGTGCATTACTGTTTCCTACAGGATAATTAATTGAGCACTTTTTTTCAAAACAAAACCATTTTTCCTTAAAAAGTTCCCATCTGGTATGCTTCATCCATGTTCTTAACAAAACATTTCCATTTTCTGCTATTTACTTTTCCCAAAAACATCCCAGGGTGAATCTGGATAACTGATTCCAATTTGCAAACAACTTTTTTTCCACATAAATAAATACTCAAAACCAATCAGATTTAACGATTCTCATTATACGCCAACATCATTCACTACAATCCAATTAATATAATTATCTCAATAATCAGATAAAAATTGTTATTACAGACTCTTCTCACTTTAATAAATGTTTTATCAGCAATACATGAAAAGAAGAAAATTGCTCTGTTTAAAAATATCTTCTCAACTTAGTCCCCTGAGACACTTTTTAAGCTTTAAAGAAACATTAAAATAAATAATCTATTCCTCCTTTCATCACTGTTATATTATAAACTTGAAATGCCAGTTTTACTTTTCATATTTCCCTGTTTATTGAGCTCTTGAAGTGCACAGGACACATCTATGGACTTCTGTTTTTCTTCTCAGGCATTAAGAAGCTCTTAGCTTTTCTCAGAAAATTACACTGATGTTATTATTCCTGATATTAAGATTAGGTTCATAATATGAAAGACTAGGAAGGGAAAGAAAGTCTTATTTGCCAGTGGTGGCTGGATATGTGTTATGTGGGTAGCAAAAAGCTACATCTTTATAGAGCAAAAACAGCCAATCTTTTTGTGGCTGCTGTTGCATATTTATTCTTTTTACACACCCAGGGGCAGCCAAAAGCCATACCTTTATAGGCATTTCTCTGTTGCTACTTTATTACAAGTAATATCATAAACAAGAAATCTGGATGCCACCAAGTGTGCCCCAGGTGCAGATATTTAAAATAAGAAAAAATATTAATGACAGTACTGTGTTGCTTTGCATCCAACAAAGTAGCAACAGAGAAATGCTGAAGCTATTTTCCAGTATAAGTTAGGAGAGAAAAGGAAGAAGCAATATGTGGGCTGATTTATTCCATATATCTTCTGAAATGTGCTTGAGCCTTGAAAAAATGTTTATCTGATGTTGTAGTAAACAACTCTATTTGAAATGTGTTGGAATTTCAACTCTGCTCTATTCCATGCTCAGTTTAGTGCTCATTCTTGCAGGAAGGCAAAATTATTAAATTTGATTGCTACCAACTTAGTTTTAATAAATGGTAACTTTTCTCTGGCAAAAGTATAAAATATATATTATTCTGTAATGACCTTTTTCACTCAGACTTGTAAACAAAAGGATAATTAATTCCATGCTTAATTTGAAGTTATTGTAAGATATTGTCTTGCTAAAAATGTAATGCTCGTTGCACATTGCTAATCAAAAGTTTTATTCTTGGATTTTTTTTCAGTTTATATACAACTGCCATTATGGTGGATAAAAATGGCTGCAACAATTTTGTCAGATATGTTTCATAAAACAAAAACAAATATCTTGAAAATATAATATATATTTATATTCGTAAGAATAGTTTCAGACCTAGCAGAATAAACAGTCTATATCTTTGTCCAGTAAGATGAGTCTAGTAATCACATGCTTGGATGTTGTAAAATTTCAAATTGCTACAAAATTTTGTAAATACTCTAACATTTTGTACTCATCTCATCATGGACTAGTAACAAAAACTTTGCAGATGAGTACTGGTTCATGGACCACATATTGAATAGCACATTAAATAGAGGAAACATACAGTTTATTTTAGTTGCATTCATTAAATGGATTGCTCTTGTGAAACTAGCTAAAACTGCCCTGAATACTTATATACTTAATTTGAGAGTTAAAAAAAGTACTTTGGGGAAGATTAAGTAGAAACTATTTTCCACAACTTCCAACTTGTAAGATCATTAAATTTTCTGTTCACTGGTATTTGTTCTATTTCAATTTTACCATTAATTTCTAAATATCATATCTAGATGTTTCTCACTGACAATTCCAAATAATCAGGAACCTCATATAATACAGGATGGAAAAGCAAAAAAAAAAAGTTTAAGAACAGGAACAATGCATCTTGGAATTGGTCACATGGGTGATCCCAGCTCTTTATGAAATACAGAATGAACACAAAGTGATTCTAAAAGGACGTATTTTTCCATACACCAATTTCATCAGCATTCTAGCTCTCTCTTGTCAAAAACAGAAATAAACAATTAGAAGGAGTGTAGGTGTGAACTGCTCAAAAAATGTCTGTATTTTAATACATTTAAACATCTAGACTCTGGATTTTTCCCACGATAGATTAATGTAGCTCTCCATAAAGAAGAAAACAAGTTATCCAAATATGAAAAGCTTTTTGATGCTGAACGGACCAGTAAAAGAATCCCTTTTAGCTCAGCTTATGTGCACGTTTAGACGAAAATAAATCCTGATATGCAGAGTTCCTAATTAAAGAGAAAGATAATAATTTTGTTGTATTTTGCTGTGTACATCTAAGCACATGAAACAATTTACCAAGGAGCAGTTGGAAACATATTCTAGATGTTTCCCAGTAATTCTCACCTTCAAACCATGCTCTGTGTTTTGCCATCAGACAAATCAGTTGGACACAATTGGAACAAAAAAAATACCACACCTCTGATTTGTTTACATCTTCAAAGAGCAACTCAGAGGCTGGAATCAAAAGTCAACAAACCACAAAAAGGTCAGAGGCTCTAGGTGCACCCTTTTCACATCAAATAAACAATTAAAGCATTATTTTCCCCAGTTCATGAAGTTCAGAGTTCTCAGCAAGAATTTCAATATATAATTTCAGAATGCTCCTGTGCTGAGATAATAAGAATTAAAACAATTTTATACGTTTTGGCTTTCCACTTAAGTGGTATTATTACAGAAAGTGTATCAGGATAAGTTGATTGATCTGAAATAGCTACAAATCCTACTCCCATCTTGGGTATTTCACGGAGCCTGATTTTATGCTATTGGAATGTTGATTTTTGCTTTGTTCCTGCTGATATTGGCTGTAATTTAGGTTTTTCTTTGGTTTTACTAATGTACAGTATGCCGATCATTCATGTTAAGCAACCATACAAATCTAAATAAGTAAGTTCTTCTTGCCAAGAACACTTGGAAACTATCGTGCAATGTAGTACAGTTAGCATGCTAAGAATTTTCCATCCATACTATTTATTATCTAAAAGTACAATTCCAATAAGCTCTTAGCTCTTCTTTCCATCCATTCCATAATACCTTACCCTTTTTCGCAAATTGTAGGTCAGGATGAGATTCCTGGAGAAAGAATGTGAAAAGGCTGTGTAGAACTCCAGCACTTTCTGTAAGGCATCCCTTTTAATTACATGAAGGTCACAGTAAGTCAAAGCCCTTACATTTGCACATGACTGGGCAAGAGTTGTTTCTTTCCAGAAGACATCACCAAAGACATCCCCTTTGCCTAGGGGACAAAAAGATCTGCAATCAGTTAATTGCTTCCATGTTAAGAAAATTATCAAAATTTAACTGCAAATAATTCCATAAAGTTTCCACTATTATTAAAAGTACATGCCTTATTTTATGCAACATATTAAACACAAAGCTAACTACAATATAATGAGGAACTAACTCCGATCTTTTTTCTTTATAGCAATAAGCAGGCGATGAATATCATTTTTTTTGTCAGCACTGTCAAGTCTAATCAACAACTAAACATTTATATAGATTCAATCAGTAAGATTCCTTATTAGAATAAGGAATTAGAATAATTAGAATAATTGTCCAGTTCATTTTTTAAAAAAAAGATTGATTGATTTATAGCAATATTTTATAAACCCTGGTGCTTCACAGCAATTGTAATATATTACAATAAAACAGCCACAGTAAATTAAAATAAAGTTAAAATTAAAGTTACATAGCACAACCCTGTCAATGTCATAATTCACCCAAGTGAATTGATCTGAAACATTCGGTGGGACAGACAGAAGAACAAAGTGCACTGGAGTTTGCAGTAGTTTCCAGAAGGTCTATAATCAGTGTAGCCAATGTCATCTCCAGGACTAGGGTCATCTCAGACAAATAATACTTCCAGACCCCACACCCTCATTTCCTGGAAATGGGTTACTACCAAACACTTCTCCTGGAAAAGACACCTTGGACAGGTTGAATCCAGCTGGAGGAAGTGGTACTGAGGAGATCTCGGTATCAAGCCCAAAGGTGCTTTTCAAGAGTTAACTGTTTTTCTTTGAAGGTGTTTTGCTTCTCATCCAAGAAGCTTCTTCAATTCTGGATGGTGGGGAATGGAAGGATTTATATTCCTTGCAGACAGCTGGTCATTTGCATTCTTTTAGAGAGTTGTCAATGCCACTTGGATGTTGTGTCCTTTCAGCAGTTCCAAGAAGGCTACACACCATTTGCCCCACTCAGGTGACTTTGAGGACACAGATAAACCTCCAAGTGGCCTCAACAACTCTCTAAAACAGTGGTTCTCAACCTGTGGATCGGGACCCATTTGGGGGTCAAACAACCATTTCACAGGGGTCGCCAAACAACGCAGTCCGCCATTTTTTTCCCCTTTTCCTTAGCTGTGCTACTCCCTTTTATTCTATTGGCTTTTGAAAGCCAATAGAATAGACTCTCTTGAATAGAGTCTAATTCTATTGGCTTTCAAAAGCCAATAGGAATTGTCCAGGCTGTCTCTGCCCTGCTGAGCCCGCCAAAAGTCCCATTCTGCAAACGGTGCTGCACCAGTTGAGTAGTCCTTGACTTACGACCGGTTGAGTAGTCCTCGACTTACGACCAGTTGGGGGTCACGGCATTAAAAAGGTTGAGAACCACTGCTCTAAAAGGATGCAAATGACTAGCTGTCTGCAAGGAATATAAATCCTTCCATTCCCCAACATCCAATCAGAGCTGAAGAAGCTTCTTGGATGAGAAGTGAAATGTCTTAAAAGAAAAACAAGAAAGAAATGTCTTAAAAGAAAAACCAGTTCGTGAAAAAGCACCTTTGGGTCAACCATGACCTGGATGACTGAGACTCTCCATAGACATCTAGGTATCAAGCACTATTAAGTAATATATATCAAGATATTTATATTTAACTCACCCTTCAGGATATTAATTTTTGACAAAGACATCTACAGATAGATGACAAAAGTTATAAATACTGTCTAACAGCTTCAAAGCTCTCTTTATTTCCTTTCCTTTCCTGGGCTTCACAGCACAAAAAGCAAAATAAAGAAGTGTCATCTGAGCTTCTTATCTCAGATTTATTCTCTTCAGCCATACTTTTGTTTGATTTTAAAGAGACCAACTGGATCTAAGAATGTGTGTGACCATATCTTTTAAGTTCTTTCATTCACATCTATTTTTTTCCTTTCAGTAAAAAGATCCAGACAGTGGTGGGATTCTAATATGTGAATAACTGGTTCTCTGTTTGGATGTCGCTTCTGGAAGTCCATTCTGGGCCTGGGCAACAAAAATTAGCTACCAGTTCTGCCGAAGTGGTGCAAACCGGCTGAATCCCACCACTGGATCCAGAGAATAAAAGGATCTTGCCTCCAGAATCTGAAAGAACATTTATTTTGTCAGATGTCTGTTGTGTAAATATATGGAAGCAAAATACAGGTAGTCCTCGAATAATGACCAGAATTGAGCCCAAATTTCTGTTGCCAAGTGAGACATTTATTAAGTGATTTTCCCCCATTTTATGACCTTTCTTGCCACAGTTTTTAAGTGAATCACTGCAGTTGTTAAGTTAGTAACACAGTTGTTAAGTGAATCTGGCTTCCCCATTGACTTTCCTTATCAGAAGTTTACAAAAGGTGATTACATGACCCCAGGACACTGCAACCGTTATAAATATAAGTCAATTACCAATCATCGAAATTTTAATCATGTGACTATGGGGATACCACAATGGTCATGTGAAAAACAGTCATAAACCACATTTTTCAGTGCTATTGTAACTTCAAATGATCACTAAATGAACTGTTGTAAGTCGAGGACTACCTGTAGATAGATATGTTCACCAGATCCAAAACCAAACAAAATCTAAATCCCTTTTTAATATTTATTTATTTATTTGTTTGTTTGTTTGTTTATTATTTCCCATTTTTATTATTTTTTAGAAATAACTCAAGGCCGCAACACACACAATACTCTTACTGCCCCCTATTTTCTCTACCATGTTTCCCCAAAATTAAGAACTACCCTGAAAATAAGCCCTAGCTTGGGGGTGGGCCTAATATAAGCCCTACCCCAAAAGTAAGCCCTAGTTTGGGGGCAAGGTACATGCCTAAAAATCAAGTTAGGGCGGAGGTGGAAGGGTGGAGCTACCCCATGCATCCCATACCCACTTACCAAGCCTCCCATGAATCAACACCTGCCTCTCCTCACCAGTCCAATTCTTCTGCAGCCTCCCCCGGGCTGCATATTGCAGTCAGAGGCCTTTCCGGAAGGCCTCTGCAGTCGAGAACCAAGCTATGGATTCAATTGTAGCTTGGTTCTTGGCTGCAGAAGCCTTCTACAAAGGCCTCTGACTGTAAAATACAAGCCAGAGCTCCATTCTCAGATGCAGAATGAATGGGCCAACTGGGCGGGGCTGTTACTGCCACCGCCGTGAGGTGAGTAGAAAAGACCCTCCCTAACAATAAGACCTGGTGCCTCTTTTGGAGGCAAAAAAAAATAATAAGATTGGGCCTTATTTTTTGGGAAACGTGGTACAACAACCCTGTGAGGTGAGTTGGGGCAAAAGAGACTGGCCCAAAGTCACCACGCTGACTTTCATAACTAAGGTAAGATTGAACTCACGGCAACCCAATTTCTAATCTGGCACCTTAATCATTAGATCAAATTGGCTCTCTTTTTTGGAATCAGTTTAGATTAATAAGAAATTATTAATAAGAAATGTTCAGAATAATTGCAACTGCAGAAAGGGTTTGGGTTAGTTTTTTTAAAAAAAAGAACCAGAGGTTTCTACAGATGTTTGCTATATCATTTCCATATTGCACTCAGATTTGATATAGTAGTCCATGCACAGACTCTCATTTTTAGGTTGCTAGCTACATGGAAGCCAGTTTGGCTACAGGAAGACCAAAATTGTTGAGATTGTTTGAGGACATAAAGGAGTAGTTGAAGATTTATCTGGAACACTTATGTGTTGAAGGTTCAGATAACAAATGTTTGAATGGTGCTACAGCTATGCCTACAAAATTAGGAATAGTTGTCCATCTGGGTTTAATTCTGTATTAACAAAACTTGAAGAAATCACAAGCAGGAACTATATTAAACAGCATTTTCCTAGACCAATGGTTCTCAACCTTTCTAATGCCGTGACCCCATAATACAGTTCCCCATGTTGTGGTGACCCCCAACCACTTATACATCACCAGGTGCCAGGAGCGTGGCCAAAGAAAAGGGGGAAAAAATGGAGGACAGCCTTGTTTGGCGACCCCCGTGAAATGGTCATTCGACCCCAAACGGGGTCCCGACCCACAGGTTGAGAACCACTGTCCTAGACCTACACTGAGTTCCTTTCTCCTTTCCTTTTCTAATGGAAAATACCAAATTTGATCTCAGGTTTTTGTTTTAATCCTACACAAATAGATGGTGTTTTCAGAGGGAGAGCTCTTTTATTTTCTAATGGAAAATACCAAACTTGAGCTCATTTTTTAAAAAATCCTACACAAATAGATGGTGTTTTCAGACAGAGAGCTCTTACTGTTATCACTCAAAATATATTATGCAACTATTCCATTATTTTGCCCTGTTAAAATATATTTTATGGAAAGAAAAAGACAAAAACACAAAAGGGTTAAAAATACAAAAAAGAGGGAACCATCTTGAACATCCCTGCTCCAAATTCCATGAACAAAACAAGCTAATTACTGCAGTAAATAGCCTCTGGAAACACCCAGAAAATGAAACTAGAAAAAAAATCCTTTAAAGAAATATGAACTTTGAAGCATCCTATAGTTTTATAATTACACTAGTCCTGGTATTTGTCTTAAGTTAAAACTGAAACGAAAACTAGTTGACAACCATTTTCTCCATATTTACAGACTCCTGGAAAAGAAAGGTATCTAGTCATGTTGGACAATGTCTGTTGTCCATTTCTCCAGTCTACTTGCCTGGAAAGGGAAAACCAGAAAGGCAATTGTAAGTCTAATGGTTCAAGATGCCAGCTGTTCTCTTTGAAATCAAGTCAGAGCAAGCAGACTTATTGCTGGACAGAATGAGCTAGTTGCCTCAGTCTGCAGATTCTGAGTAAAGATTGGATTATTAGAGCTACAATTTGTTGATCATGCTAAAGTACTGTGAGTTTTAGATATAATATTTTTATGCAGGGATTTCCTGCAACCTGAACATTTTTTCAGTTAAAAATGGTGGAAGGATATCTTTTACATGGATTGGGATAATAGCCTATGTTATGAAGCTAGTATGGATTAATGTGCATTATTCAACTGAAATTACCAAGT